GTATAAACTATAGCGCATATCTTTATAGCGTATATTTCATATTATAATTAATAGTAGATAAGATAGTTATAGTTATTAATAAAGGTAATAATCATATATCTAAGGTAAATATTTACTTTAGCTCTAATCTCGCTCTCGCGGAATAGTCTTATACAAGATATTTTAGCTCTAGTCTTGCTCTCGCGAAATAGTCTTAGAGTAAGATATGTTGGAATTCACGGCAGAGTTCTGACCTTTTCCCAACTTTTCCAACCATACTCGTATCATCCAGAAGTGAGTTCTTTGATAGAGTGAGGACACCAATAGATTAACCGATATTCGGCTAAGTGGAAGGATTGATTGGTGTCCTCGCTCTATCAAAGAACTCACTTCTGGATTGTACGAGTACAGATCCATTTTTGGTGCAATTGCCAACAGTATCAACTAGGTAAAACTTTCAAACACTGCTTGAAGACCTTTCGAAAGCAACATTATTTTCCGTCGCGCACGATGAGCTGCCCATCCTGGTCTTTCTTCTAACCAGCAAGTTTCGAAGCTAAGGAAGAGGGCGCATGTCATGCTTCAGCAGAGCCGTCATGCTAATAATGATGCTATTATTTCTCGCGCAATCGTTGCGGACACCTTTCCCTGCCGTTGAAGTTGATATTTGAAACATTGTCCTTGCGCTTCGTGGCCTACTGAAAATAGCTGTGACATGCCTTTGGCCTTCTACAGCCCGGCGCATATTTCTCCTAGCGCCATCGCATCAATCTCCAAGATGCAACCCCAATGCCCTTGCGTAGCTATCGTTTCTCGACGACAACCTTCCCCAATCTACCGAATTAATTGACTTGTAAGGTAGCAGTTTTATATGGTGTCGATGGTATTTTCCACCACTATAACCGTATTTTATATGCAAAACAGCGTTATATGCCAGTAGGACTTTATACATGTCGCCGCTAGTTAGTAAGCTGAGAAACAGGGATGAATAGCGTGTTACCTACCAAATTGATCCGCGTCAAGACGTGTTTCTCAGGTATCTTCTCCATCAATACCTTAACTTCAGCTACTTCAGCTACTTCCACTACCTCAATCGCATCACCTCCATTCAATAAGACTATTTCTACAGGTATCGAGCCTATCTACTGCATGGACTACGACGAAGAGGCTCTACTTGATCCTGAGCAAGATGCTGAGGGCGAGGATGATGAACAGTGGTGGTAGAAGCATGGTAACTGAAGTGGGTACTTGATTGGCTATGTAGATGACTAAGTAATATATATACCGTCTCAGAAATACCTACTTTATATGACCAAACCCCCAGTGGTTTCAAAATAGTCATTTGGAACCATACTTTATATGCGATACTACTTTATAATGAAATACTACCTTACAAGTCAATTAATTCGGTATCTCGTTCGGTCCAGCTTGCAGACATCGCCTCCCACCATGTTGACAGAATCCAAGTCTCTCAATGAACATTTCGATTGGCAGTTGAACTCTCTCATCCCCCGCCACATTCAGCTAATTTTAGCACGTGTATCAACAAGTTGCTTCGTTATTTCGCTGGTACTCTCCAACTGTAAAGACTGGCCAGACGATCTTACAAATGGTTATTGATCAGAAGGCCTAGCCCTAGCCTCTGTTCTCCTCCTCATCAGTCCATCATAGCCGTCTCCCGATCCTCGCTGATGCAACTCTCAACGCCAGGTATTGTTATCGCTCTGCTGGACATTGTTATGCCTTATTCGACGCAGATTCAGCACATCTCCATTGCACCCGGGCTGGCTCCTTAGCCTCGACCTGCTCTGTTTCCTGGCCATTGCTACGTCCTGTCCCCTTGGAATGCTGAGCTCAAGCTTCTGGTCCGGAGGCCAAGGATGTCTCGTCCCTACCAATGATGCTTTAATGGTCCGGTATCGGCGAGTTGGGAGAGGTTGATCCATCTCGTGTGGGATCTAGAAACGACTGCATTTGCAGGGGCTTACTCAATGGCGTATGTGCTGCACCTTTGTCCAAAGAGCACTAAATTTCTGGCGTGATGCCAAAGTCACGGTAATATTCTCCATCTTGTAGTCTTCGTGATCGCGTGCCGTGCGACAGACCTGTACAGCCGCGAGAAGAAGAGACGCAATAAAGCTGGCAAGCAGATGGAGCTGCCAGCCTACCCATTCATTGAGTCCCAGGAGCCAATTGTTGGCATCAGGTCGCTACATGAATTGGACATTCGTAAAAGTCAAAGCTCCAAAGAAGGTTGCGCCTGGGTATCAGAAGTGGGCTCGGAAAAGATCACGACTGCGCAGCCGAGTTTATATATGGAAGAAAGCACAGTCTTACCGATGAATGTGATTCTGCAAGGGAGTCCCCGTTGTAGGCGGAGCTGCAATATTGGGCAATAGACACCAGTCGGGGCCGATGACAATGTCTTTGGAGGATTTTGATACTAAATCTATTGGCTGGTGGTAGTCTTTTTACTCAATCTTAATCCTATGATATCGACTGAAGGTAATCTTCTAGAATACACAAGATAAAATCATTCCGTCTATAACTCGTGTCTGCAGTTCAGAAAACGTACTGCCATAACGTAAAGGCGTCTAAAGTCTACAATCGCTCTAGTCAACGCATATCCAAACATTCACAACAAACCGCGGTTGAAAAAACCCAGTCACTGTGCACCATGAAAAGCGACCTCCCCAGCTCACCCTACCCCTCACCAGACTCAAACCCGGACTTTCACGCGCGGAGAGGTCGACATTCGCCAACGCCCTAGAGTCCACGCCGGTACGGTCTCCCCCTTGGACTCCGCATACCGCCAGCTGTGACACTATCGTCTCCACGATCTTCGAATCCGTAGCTCAGTGATACGTCTGGCAGGCGGGCTGGCATGAGGGCTCATACGCAAGGTCCGTTTGCTGGAACGGGTGTCGGCCGGTTCAGATGTTCATCACACTGGGCCCACGCATCAGGGGGTCGAAACGCAAGGGCTTGGACCCATGCGTAGACCACCCATGGATTCGATTGGAGGATTCCACGCTTGGAACCTGGGCCGGTCCACGGGAGGGGTTGTTGGCTGGGGCCGGATCCGGGCCTCTATGTGAAGTTCTGCTGAGATTGCCGGGAATGGAACGCGGCCGCAGGACGGGCATGTGTGGGCTTCCGCGAACCACATTTCCAGGCAGCTGGGCCGTGCCACATGGCAGGATTCTAGCTGTAGAACACCATATCTATGACCTCTCCTTCCGTAGTTCGGTACGATGTCGGTCGTCTGGTGGAAGATGAAGAGATCTTTGATTACGACTTGGCAATGAATGCAAAGATTCACCGAGGCTGGACTCGAGGACAATGATACAATCGGGCCCAGGTATCTTGGCTGGTAGCTTTGCTTTGTCGTCGCTACAGCATCACAATGACGTATCGAGATCTTCCCATAGACAAAACAGGAATTGAGGACTGACAGAGTTCGCTTCCTCACGCTTCGCCGAGACGCACTACAACTCGGTACATGATATTGGTCTGCATTATGTAATACATGTACATTATATTTCTGCAAATGACTTGACATCTTCACCTTATCCAGAAAGGTATCGAAGAGAATTTGTTCATAGTAGATCGCAAACTCGGAGCAAGGATGAGTTACATACCTTAGTCAGTAAGCGACTGAACAAGAAAGTCCTCACTCTGTCAGCCCCATTAACATCGTTTCTGAAATTGAGCTCTCAATCCGAACCCTCCTAGGTCTGAGACCATGCACAGCCGCCTGACGTCGCGGCGTAGACAGGATCGTAAGAGTATCCGTGGTCTCGGAGAAAAATCCAGATATCGCGGTCAGAAACCAACAACCCCACCGGAACCGGAAGCACACGGAAGGCTCCTCTCCGTCGAAGTTCGTGGAAGAGCGCTTCCTCCTGAGAAGGTCCGAGGCGTGGACCGAGGCTGGTGCTACTCGGGCGCCAGGGAGGGAGATTCGCGCCCTGACCCTGGAGCTGCGAGTATAAGAGCCAGTCCCGAAAATGCCGGGATCGATGAACGATGCCGTTCGCTGAGAGTTCCGAATCTAGCTCTGTTGCCATGTTATCCCAGTCTTCCTCGATGGCGTCATGTGATGGTACAAACTCCTCTTCAACTTCTGGCGCAGCGGGAAAGAGCTCATATCTGCAGAGGGGGCAGGTGTTTTTACCTTCCTCGGGTGAGAGCCAAGAAGAAATACACGCATGGCCGAATTCGTGCCCACACGGCAAGCGAATCGCGTCCTCGCAGATAATGCCACTGCCGGTAATATTCGTCCCGTAAATCTCGCGGCAGATCGAGCATCTGTTGCCGTACATCAAGTCGCTTTTCGAGACGACGGGGAATTGGGCCACAAAATTATGGGCCATCATTGAAGACTACCACAGCTCGATGGTATCTGGACTTGGGTTAGAATGTTGGGTAGAGCGAATTGGTGTAGGCTGCGGCCAGCAATTTGCCTGGTGACTTTGGTTCCGGTCGAGTAGGTTTGGGGTTTGTTGGGAGGATGCTGGTGGAGGGAAGATGGTATTGATGAGCGTGGAGAGTTGTGAGAGCTTTAGAAGACGGAAGCAAGGAGGACAAAAGCATTGTCCTCTTTACAACGATGGAACTTCCTTTGAAGAACAATGAAAGGCACAGATGGTGGACAAAGCCTTCACGTCTTTAGAAGTGAAATGGAAAAGGGATTCGCATCAAGCAATGTCTTGACAAAGTCGATGTTCTGGATCCAATCATGTATCCTTTTCTGTCTTAGGACCACGTTAGGGAAAGTGGCAGTTTTGAGTTTTGGTATTCCTCTATCCTGCATTGTTTAGAGGTGCAAATCATAGAAGTGAACTTGTGAATGCGAAGCCAATAGAGTCATCGTCTCTGACGAGTGAATGTTTTCTTGTCGAGGCTAAGTTTTGCGATACCTTTGGGTACCGTACTCACACAACTCCTACTAATTTTGTCAGTCCGTGCGCCTCTAGAAGGCATTTTCCAACTTGCCTGCGCTAAGATGGTTTGTGGAGCTACCATTCGAACGTCTGTCCGACCAGTCTCTCGCTCAAAGCCCACAGCAATTCAGCTTTCTCTTGGTCTCTCGCGTAGACTTCAGGTGCGGCTACGATGCAGTCTCCCAAGAAACTTCCGGATGGAAGTGTTGGATCCAATGCTGCGACGAGGGTTGTTGAACATCCTTGTTCAATGGTCTTGAGCTCACTAGCGGAGAATGGACCTTGCAAAGTGAAAGGTTAGACATCATCCTCCGACCCCAAGTCGATGGTGAGCTGAAGAGACCGAAAGAATGGATGTACTTACGGCCTGTGTTAGTTTCAATCGTTTGTATGCCTTCCTCCCTCATTTCTGGCGTCATGTATACTTGAAGATTGGTCTTGATGGCTACAATTCCGTCAGGATGATGTTGGGAACGCCTTATAGGACATGACTCACAGCCTGGATCTAATGAAACCGAGTCCACGTGCCTTGTGTGCAGCTTTGACGCTAGGGCTTCCGTGAAGAGAATGCTTGTTGTTTTGGCCCTACCCGGGATAAACATTCCAAGTCAGCATTGTCAATGGAGGTGGGAGTTTGGGCCTTAGAGTATGTCTATAGGCCCAAGTTCTGTTTCTCAGTGCCGAAAATACTCACGTATGCTGACCAGGCGTGATATTTAGTCCCATCCTTGGAAGCGTCAGTGAAAAGCCTCATCTGCTGTGACACGGAAGTAGGGTCTACACACTTCGTAGTTCCAGTCATTTAGCTGGAGGTCCGACATTTTGTGTGCCGAACTGGACACGTTGACTATCCTTGCCCCTTGCCCAGCAAACAGTCTTCCCATAATCAGGTTCGTCAACAGGGAATGCCCGATTTAACTAGTGCCGAACTGGCTCTCGATCCCATCAGCCGTTTTTGCCAAAAGACATGCCATTATTGCTGCATTGTTGATCAGGATATCGATGCTCTGGACTGTTTTATTGATATCTGCAGCAGCTTCCCGTATAGCATGTTGGCTGCTGAGGTCTAAAGGAATGAATTGGGTCTCGACGTCCGGATAAGCACCACTGATACGATCAATGACTGGTTGAATCTTGGGTAACGAGGGACCTGCGAGAAGGATGCACGTAGGAGACCCAGCGGCAAGGGACAAGGCAGTCTCTGCGCCTATACCACCGTCACTTGATCCAGTGATAAGGACTCAAATGCATATTAGCAGTGTTGGTTCTCGATGGGCAATGGTGGTCTTACTGGTTCTGCCCTTGACCCTATCCTTGAATGTTCTACAACCTCTGCGCCAGTAGTCGAGTGCCCAAAGTTGGCCAACTTTTGGAGTTCGGGCATGCTAATGAAAACACTGCAGAATAATTACGGAGGACAAAGGAGACTGCTGTGGCCTTGGAAGATATATAGCCGACAAGTTGAGGGTTAAAACTGAGACAAGCGAGCCCTAATTCCGACGGCTTGAAAGATGTATGGTGGACCACTGGAGGGAGAAAATGACATATGGTCTTAATCTCGATGGCTTGCATAAAGAGTAAGCTTGACAATCATCGCCATGCATTTCAAACAGAAAGTCGCTTATTAACCATTGTCTTCAACATAAAATTTGATGCTTCTGGTAGCCTTGGTGGCGTGATGATACCACTTTCCCTCTCGGTACAGGAGTATCATGTCGGTAACGGATACATTTGTCAAAAGGGAAACCATTAGCATATTGATTGGGCTCATCCTTGAGAACGTTGCAGGCATTTCACACGTCTTGCTAGGCCCCATGATGCTCCATTGCCATGGAAATGGAAACTGCACTCCGCTTTTAGGGACTAGTCCAAGAGAAGCCTAGCGCAAATCTTCGAGTGCTCTCAAAGCCCAAGCTTCACTTCTAGGTATCACCCACTCGCAATGCCAGACGATGATCTAGACACATATTAATCAACAGTGACACCATACGTTCATATATCCATAAGAGTGGTTCGAAGATAGAGTGCAATTTGCCGCCCTCGCCGCCTCCATGCTCGTAGCTCTACTACCTCACGCATCCAAAAACTTTAGGGCCCCCCTCACTTCCTCCCCCTGCTGCAGCTGACTGAAGCATCATCGCAGCCATTATGGCTACGAATCAATCCAGGAAGTACGGTGTTACACCTCCAGTATCCCAGAACTTCCCCACTGAAGCTGAGCTTGCTGCCAACGATGCCCTCATTGCGGAGCTGAAGAGACAAAACAACTTCGAGGGCCTGGAGGAGACAGAGCGAAGGTAAGATGGACACCGTACCCATAATTAGCCCTTTAGCTGAATCTTTGAGTACAGAAAATCTACACTTCAGCTTATACAGAAGATCACTGTGGAATTCGTCAAACATGTCAGCAAGACGAAGAATCTCCCTCAGTCCGTTGTGGACAAAGCCGGCGGCAAGATTTTTACATTCGGGAGCTATCGCCTTGGAGTTTACGGACCTGGTCAGTGCTCCACGTTGTGACTTGACTTGATCGTGAGCTGATTCCAAGGAGGCTCTGATATAGACACCCTCGTCGTTGTACCACAGCACGTGACTCGAGAGGACTTTTTCGAGCACGTCCCTACCCTTCTGGAGCGTATGGCCCCTCCTGGAGCCATCAAGGAGCTGACGCCCGTACCCGACGCCTATGTACCAATTATCAAACTCGAGCTTTCTGGCATAAGCGTCGATCTCATTTTCGCACGCCTCGCCCTCCAGTCTGTGCCGATAACCCTCACTCTCAAAGATACTAGCGTACTACGGGGTTTGGAAGAAAGAGATTTGCGATCTTTGAATGGAACACGGGTGACGGACGAAATACTGGAATTGGTTCCGCAACAGAAGACGTTCAGAACCGCGTTACGAGGCATCAAGCTATGGGCCCAACGTCGAGCGATCTACTCCAACGTGATTGGGTTTCCCGGTGGTGTGGCATGGGCAATGTTGGTAGCCAGAATCTGTCAGCTATACCCTCAAGCCACAGGTTCTGTCGTCATTGAAAAATTCTTCCTCATGATCGGCAAATGGCCATGGCCTCAGCCGGTACTCCTTAAAAGTATCGAAGATGGTCCGTTGCAAGTGCGAGTTTGGAATCCCAAGATTTACAATGGAGACCGCTTCCATCTCATGCCAATCATCACACCAGCATACCCCTCAATGTGTGCGACGCATAATATCTCGATGTCAACCAAGACCATCCTTATTCGAGAGCTAGAGCGAGGCAGGGCGATAACCGATAAGATCTTCAGTGGCCAATTGCAATGGAAAGACTTGTTTTCAAAGCATACTTTCTTCACCGACGACTACAAGTACTATCTCAGTATCATTGCCTCAAGCAGAACAAAGGATGCGCAGAAAGTCTGGTCTGGCCTCGTTGAATCCAAAGTACGCCTACTCGTATCGAACCTTGAGACCCAAGAAGCGATTGCGGTGGCGCGGCCGTTTAACAAAGGGTTTGAACGCGTGCACCATTGCAAGAATGAAGATGAGATCTACGCTGTCTTGAACGGCGACCTCAGGTTCCAAGCCACAAATGTCAAGACTGAAACGACCGATGTTGCCAAGGATCCGGTGCATGCTGCTGCTGCCCAGGGTAATTCTGACGAAATGGCAATGCCGAATGGTCATACCGAGGCTACCACGAACGAAGATGGAGAGCAGACCATCTATAATACGACCTACTACATCGGCCTTGAGCTAGCTCAAGGTACGTGCACGCTTTTTTGCGAGTAACCTTACTGACTACGCATAGACGCGACGAAGAAACTCGATATATCATATCAAACAAAGGAGTTCAAAGAAATCTGTACAGGATGGCAGAGCTACAACCGAGATCTGAATTCCCTGTCGATTGTCCATACTCGAAAGTAAGACTAAAAGCTATTTGTCCCTTCCCGGTTTGTGTCCTTGGACCACTGATTTGGGCCATGGCAGTTACGATTTGCCAGACGACGTTTTTCCGTTAGGAGAAGTTAAACCCACTAGGCCAAAGAAGAAGGTCAGCAAGAAGAGAGACCTCGACGCTATGGAGGTACGTCCGCCCTCGTGGACATGGTTCCAGAAAAAGCGCGGAGATCGCCAAGTGTCTCAATTGCTAACCGGAGGCTTTCATGGTGATGCTTGGGTTTGCTGACGAGGGCCATTACTGATGCGTAGGAAACCCCTCAGCCTTCGAATGGCGTGAAGAGACGACGATCAGACGAGAGAAAGCCAACAGCTTAAGATGCAGACAGCTCGTGGGTTGCGTACGATATAATATTCCAACTCTTCGGGCACCTCACTAGAGCGATCGCTGAGGGGCCCCTAGGTCGTCAATGTCCAGCGCATAAGCCCACCCAAGGACTACGTGACGGACACACTTGCAACGAGGATCATGTCGCCCTCGTGTACCAATCTCGCTCCGAACATGAAAGACTCGATACTAACAGCACAAAGATCTTTTGGGATTGGGGATTGACAATCTGTTTGGCACAAAATCTCAACGATCCGCTCCAAAAGACAGCCAATTGAGCAGGGAGGATGAGAATCAAGAAAGACCCTCCCACAACAAGTTACAATGGGAGCAATCCCGAATGTTGCATCGATTGCTGACATGTCTAGGCAGCATAAATTTAGACTGATCGAAAAAGAAGCTGGAAAGAAAAGGATCAGGTAGTTTTGCGCAATGCTCATGTGCCAGATAGCTTGCAATATGTACATAGATCAATCAACTACCTTTTTCCGGGGCCTACGGGCTCCAATAACCATTTGGATACTCCATGGCTCTCAACGGGACCTGGCGACCTCAATGAAAATGACTGCATTCGTGCTCTGTTTCTCTCATTGATCCTCCCTCTTTGGTTTCAGCAACCCCGTCGTCTCTCCCTCCTTATCCTTGTCTGCAAAATCCGGTCTCGGGATCTCGCACCCTTCTACCGTCCTCCCATACATGATTCCGCCCAGCCTGCTTATCGGCCTCAGCACCCCGGGATCAATTATGTTCCTGTCCTCATTGATCGCATCCTCCCTCACCCAGAACCTCACTCCCTCGACAACAGCTAACACTCCCGTTTTCTTGCCCGGCGTCGCCCTGCTCTCAAACTCTGTTGTCGATAATAGTTTTCCTTCGATACTGAAAATCGCCTCCTTCACGCGGGAGGGTTTGACCTCCGTGCAAGGAGCGGGGGTAAGACCGCTCAACGACCATTCAGATGTGCCGTAGGGCGCATTGATACTCGTAGCATTAGCGGCTTCGATGTAATGTTCGCTGATGATATTGATGGTGCATTCTTTGGTAGCTTCGAGGTTGCGCAGCGTGTCTTTGGCGTTGGAGAAGCCGCCTGCAAAGCCAATAGTAAAGAGAGGTGGGTCGTGGTTTATGACGTTGGTGTAGGAGAAGGGAGCGAGGTTTGTAGAGGAGCCTAAGGGACGTGTCAGCGCGAAGGAGGGAGAGAGATGGCCGAGGACCGTGGCTGACCGTCTTCAGATCGTGTGCTAACGAAGCCAATTGGTCTTGGAATTATCCCACTGATCAGCAGCTTGTAGTTAAAGACTGCCGGTCTACCTTCCTCGTATGGGTTTATCTCCACGTGCTTCTTTTGAAGACTCCCTCCGCCGTCGTTGGCGCCCTGACCTAGTTTCCACCCCGGCCGTTTTGTCTTGGTGAAGTGCCATTCGGATCTTTCCGCCCAATCTGGCCGAGACGCTTCGACCTTGTTGAAGTCTGGATGTGGGTTTCTCTTGACAGCCTTCTCCTGGTCGAAGCGCTGTTCGTGACCTGATGGGTCCTCCTCGCGCTGCTCTTTGTCGCCGAAGTTGGAGGGCATGGTTGAGTAGTGGTGGGTGATATTGGGTAAGAACCGAAGACGTGGCAGGAGGTAGTCAGAGAGCTGTTGAGCTGGTCCGAGGGGTAGATATTAACTGATCAAAGAAATTAGAGGGGTGCTGGGGATAATATGCTCGAGGTATCCGTAGCATAAGCCGAGAGCACCCGTCTACGTCATGTTCATGCTCATGCTTGACTTTGACTGCCATGGCTTCAATGCTTTTGATAACTTCCTGCACAAGGGCTTAAAGTACCAGGATGGACGCGTGATCAAGGGCGCGTAGATGGGATATCCGGCAGATGTTGTAATGCTTCTTTGTGCGCTCTGGTGAAGACAACCACGGAGGCGTCTCCGAAGAGGTTGCGCTTATCGATAAGGATTCCCCGCTTGCGGGGTCAACAGAGAGCATCAACATTCTTCGTGCTGACACTCGACAGCAGTAGCAGCAGTTGTAACGTGATACCCTTGACCAAGTATCCTGAAAACCCCTTCAGAATGTCTAAAGAAGACTATGACAAGTACGCATTAGGAGACTGGCATC